CCCACCCCCACCCGCCGCACCCTCGGAGCGCCAGCCGCCTCCTCGGGAGACCCCCCGCGGGTCCCCTCTGGGCGGGAGGGCCTGAGGGCGGGGCCTGGTGTCCCCCGGACCGAGCGGGCCCCGCCCCCTGGAGCTCGAGGGCCACGCTTGGCCGGCTCAGGTGAGGCACCTGCCTGGGGGCCAGCCGCCCTCCTGTGCGGGGAGAGGAGGCTTTGGGTGGGCGCCGGGGTACGGTGGGGGATGTGCGGAGGCGCAGAGTCCCGCTTGGACGGGGATGCCTCTCCCCGGACGAGGGCTTCTCCGAGCCGGCTGTCCCCCGTCCCCGCGCCGTTTTCTCGGTGATGTCCGGGGTCCGAGGGTGGAACCGTCCTCGTGTCCCGAGCCACCCCCTGACTGGCCTCCCTCTGCAGATTGATGACATCGCCGACGGCGCCGTGAAGCCCCCGCCCAACAAATACCCCATCTTCTTCTTCGGGACCCACGAAACGTAAGTGTCCCCGGCTGGGGCTGGGCCTGCCCTGCCCGGCGCCCCCGGGGTGGCCTCACTCACCCTGGCCGGCCCGTGGTTCCTTCCTCCAGAGCCTTCCTGGGGCCCAAGGACCTGTTCCCCTACGACAAGTGTAAAGATAAGTACGGGAAGCCTAACAAGCGGAAAGGCTTCAATGAGGGCCTGTGGGAGATCCAGAACAATCCACACGCCAGCTACAGCGCGCCTCCGGTGAGTCCTGGGGGTGATAGGGCGTGTCTTCGCGGCAGGTGAGCGGGGGCCTGTCCATCTCAGGCGGAGCGGCCTCCCAGCCAGGCTCCCCCCAGGCGCTGTGGCCATGCTGGGCCGGGTCATTCTCCGGGGGGCCGTCCTGGGCACTCCACACGTCGAGCTGCATCCTTGGCCTCCACCGACTCCTTGCCGGGAACACCTGCTCCAGCTGTGGCAACCACAAAAGTCCCTGGACATCACCCAGTGTCCCTAGGTGGGTGGGAGTATATAGCTCTCCCCCCACCCCGCATGAAACCACTGCTCTGGTTTCAGCCGGAGTCTATGGCAGTGTTGATACTGCTCTTATGAAACCTCTCTATTTATTTATTTTTTTGAGTTGGAGTCTCACTCTGTCACCAGGCTAGAATGCAGTGGCATGCTCAGGTCATCCCGGTGTCGACCTGCTGGGCTCCGGCGATCCTTCCGCCTCAGCCTTCCAAGTAGCCAGAACTACAAACGCGCACTAACCACACTCAGCTAGTTTTTGATTTATTGTAGAGACGAGGTCTTGCCAAGTTGCCTGGGCTGGCCTTAAACCCGCGGGCTCCCAAAATGCCGGGATTACAAGCTGAGCCACCGAGCCTGACCCTCTTGCTTTCTTTGGGAAAGACAGTTCTTTTACGAACACCCCCTTCTCCCCGTGACTGCTAGATGTTAGCTTAGGTGGAAAAGGCGGTCATTTGTAGACATGAAAGTTCTCAGTCAGGTGGGAGGACGTTCCAAGAATCTCAGAGGCGAGATTTCATTGGCAAGTCAAGTGTCTGGAAGCATCCAAGCAGTTCAGAGCGTAGAAGCCCCTTGCCGAAGGCGGAGGAAGGATGGGGTGCCATGCTCTGGGTATTGGGGGGAACTGGGCTGGGGGGGTCTCTGCTCTGCTTCTGGCTGCTGCTTTGAGACTTATGTGAGGGTGTGGGGGCCAGGGTGTCCAGGGCGGGGAAGGAGGGGGAGGCCTGATGTTGGGAGGCCGAGGAAACTGACCACGGCAGAGAGGTTGGCTGGGGAAGAAGAGAAGGACACCTGAGGGCCGGGTTGGGGAAGGCGGGGCGGGGGCGTCCAGCCTCTCTGGGAGGGGACATTGGTGAGTAGAGGCTGGAGGGGGCTTGTGGCGCCTGGTCCTGCTTGTCACCTGGGTCTCGGGATGGCCTAGGCGTGCCACTCCATTCCCTTGGTCTGGTTAAGCTGGCGAGTGTCTCCATGTGGGTCCACAGACACTTCTGTGTTGACATCTTCTGCCTGCCACCCTAGGGACTATGAGCATGGGTTGATGCGGCCCGTCCCGGCCTTCTAGGAGCTCCAGTCCAGAATTCAGACTCACTCAGCAGGTGTTTCCTGAGCGCTTTCTCGGGGTCACCTCGGGGGTGTGTGACTTTTGTCGCCCATGGCATGTCTGGGGACAAGGGTTCCCTGGCTCAGCGTGTTCCGACTCACCCCGGTTCCGCTCGTCCTTGTTGGATAGACCAGAGGCTTTCGAGAGGGCTGAGTTTTCTGGGGTCTCTTGTGACCCAGCTTGGGTTCTCTTTCGTTGCGTCTTGACCTTGTTCCCTCTAGGTAAATCAGCACACCCTTTAATGTGGTTTTTTTTTTTTTTTGAGGCGAAGTCTCACTCTTGTCACCCAGGCTGG